TTTTTTTATATTTCTAAAGTTCTCACCCATGCATCTTTAAAAATAAGTATTTATTGAAATCTCATTAATATTGACTTTAAAATATAACAACCCCAAAGATGATTTCTCCCGTACTTTGATCAGGTGAACCTGGACTTCTGGTGACTAAAATAACAGCCAAAGCTCCATTCACTGGTTATGTGAGAGACATGAAGCAAACTGAGAAAAAGAAGCTGCAGAACGTCTTCAAGAAAGGTGATCTGTACTTCAACACCGGCGACCTGCTGCGGATCGATGAGGATAATTACATGTACTTCCACGATCGTGTTGGAGACACATTCAGGTGAGCGCATGTTTTAAAATAATGCTTAAAAATGTGAGCTCACACAGAGCACTGAAAAAATCCAAAACTTGTCAACAGATGGAAAGGAGAGAACGTAGCTACAGCTGAGGTGGCCGACATCCTCGCGCTGGCTGACTGCATTAAAGAAGCCAATGTTTACGGAATCAAAGTGCCAGGTACATGTTGCTGCTCCAAAATCAAGAACAAAATGTTCAGAACAATGTACACCACACTTAGTTTGTTTAGTCAATCAGTAATCAAATTGTTCCACAATCAAGCATTATTTTTAAATCTAGATCATAGGTGTCAAAGTCTGGCCAGTGGGCCAAATTTGGCCCACTGGCCAGACTTTGACACCTTCTCTTCTGTAACATTTAGGTTGTTGACATATGTAGCATGGTGCTTGCTGTGGTGCAGCTGCATGATCTCTGCACTGACGTAGGGCTCCAGGGCACCATAGTCGTATGTCAGGTCAGGGAGAGTATGCTTCTGCCTCGATGCAGCTACCTTGCTAATAGTGTGGCTGAGGCTGAAAACACACCTACGTATTTGTCCGGCCAAATTTGGCCCACAAATTTGGCCCAGTGTCTGTAAACACTCACTGTTGTGCTTCTCTCCTCACCTCCTTCATATATGTTCATGATGGCATGAACCAGAAATTTCATATGTAGATTCAACACTCCATAACACCTGTCACCACAGATTTTTAGTCTACTTCTTGTATAATGTGGCATACCTTAGCCCTGTTTCACATCCTTTGAATGGCTTCTTGACAGCCACTCCTCTATTGAGATTTCTGATGAGGCTTCTATGAACAGTAGATGGATCAAATTTCCTATTTCTTAAGGACATAACTTTCAGATGTTGTTCATCTGCTGTAGGTTTCTTAGCCCTGGCCTTTTCTTTTGTCCTCCACTTGTCCAGCTTCCTGAGATTTATTTGACACACTATTGTGAGATTAGCAATGCTGAACTTCAGTTAACTCCTGTTTTGTGACTGTTTAACTTTTGTCTTCAGGTCAGGAGGGAAGAGCCGGGATGGCTGCTGTTACTTTGAGAGATGGACTGAAGTTTGACTCCACGGCTGTTTTTAAACATGTCGAGGACTTCCTGCCGTCCTACGCCAGGCCACGCTTTTTGAGGATTCAAGTATGTTTACTCCAGTTATTTTACACTTTTTTGCATTTGTGGTTAAGCCTCTTTGTTGCCATAGTGATTTATTTTATCCACTAATAATTGGTTGTACTGTGATTCATTACAGAGGTCACTGGACATTACAGGCACGTTCAAGCTAATAAAGACGAAAGCAGTGGAGCAGGGCTTCAACCCAAATGAAATAACAGACCCACTCTACTTTCTGAATGAAAAAAAGAAGAACTATACTCCACTCACGCCAGATGTATTTGATTCAGTTATAGCAGGAGACGTCAAAATATAAAGTGATTTTACTTTTGAAGGAAAAAATCCACCTTTTCACACACAAGCAAATCATTTGGTGTGTGTGACTTCTGGCTACACATTTTAATGACAAGGTGTAAAGCATAAATTTATTTTTTGTGTTTTCATGCACACCCCCCATGTTTGAGTTTGATGTACCAATCTGTGAATGTGGTGATGGGTTCACTCAGTGAGGTTTTCTAGTTTATTAAATGGATCGCTGTACACCTCCTTCCTGCATTGCATTCTGGTCCGTGTAGGCTTTTGGCAGTGTGGGAGCAAACATATCTTTCTGTCACACATTCTGCTCTCTTTAATATTCATTTAAAACCTCCACACCCAAAGGTTATGCTTTTGCAAGTGGATTTAATCAGTGGCGTAATTCAGCTCATACAGCTGGTTTCATGCAGAATGTATACCCTGAATAACTTTATCTAGTCTTATGTCCCAGAAGCGTGTCAGTACCTCACACCAGCTCCCAGCGTAGGTGCTCTTTTTTCACCCACTGGTTGAGTGATTCGTAGTGTTCAGGAGGCCTGGATTGAAGCCATGGAGCTCAGGCAGGGGAGAACAAGCTCATTAACCACAGGGTCACTGATGTTAAAAAGGGAATCATAAAAGGGGGAATAAAAAATGTTTCTTTCAGTGGTATAATATATTATGCTATTTCTGCCACTGTTATAGTCCATCCATCACTTTTGACCAGTGACTTGCTGTCGATGGATTACCACGGCCCTCGAGAACATGCACAGAAAGATACTTTGTCAACATACAGCAAACTGTAGTGCAGCGTTTGACAGGGATGCACGCACATTTTAGGCAGCATTAAACCGCAATTGTTCTGAATCTGGCTCAAATTTGAGTGTCAGGATTTAAAGCATCTCCTTTTTCCATCTCACATATCAGATAAGCTGTAAGACACCCAGGAAATGCATTAAAATGTATAACAATTTAAATTCATTATATTACTAATTCCTTTCTGATGCCACCCATCAGTTAAATGTCAGGTTACTCGAGAGTTGGTTTGCTGCTGGTAATAACTAACCGTAACCATGGCAATTGAACATGTTTATATCAAATCTGTCTTTTCTTTCTTTTTAAAAAAAATATTAGCGATCTGATCACATTTTATAATTAAATGAAAAGTGCCTACGGATGTGCTTTGCCTCTCTCTTGCGCTATTGTTTTGTGGAGGGGGAAGGGGGGTGGCAGATCTCTAGTTTTTCCAGGTGAATACTTTAAAATCTCCACACAAATTTTTTTATTGGATAAAGATTATTTTAAATTGTTTTATTTATTTGATCCAAATGAGTTACTTCGTTGTTTGGAGCTACAGGAGGAGCTGACGTCATTTTAATATTCCATTTTTTTAAAAAATGCACTTACACTCACTCACACGATGCATAATTACAACCATGCATCCATAGTACACTCACAGAGAAATGTAGACATGACAAAAGCATAAAAATAATTATCTTAGATCTGAGAGCCAAAGCTGGAGGCGAATACGGGAGACATTTTCACAGGTTAAGAAATGGATCAATGAACTTCCCAAACTCTAAGAAAGCTGACTGTGAGCACACAATATCCTTATATCCTTATAAAAAGCAGTCAATGCCGAACACCCCCATCCTCCCACCAAAACATGGATTTTAGCTCTACTGGTGATTATAAATTGGCCATAGGTATGTAAGGTTAAGTCCCTATGTCTTAGCCATGTTATAGAATGATGAGAGGTGGGATAGGCTCCAGCCTAAATATACAATATATATTTATAAAGTTAATGTGAAAGAACAGATTTCTCTGTTATGTGTCACAGTGTAGAGAGTTAATGCACAAGCTGTGAAAGATTTCCTCAACCTGTGTGTGTGTGACAGCGAAGCTGAGCCGGTCTGTTGGAGAAAGTCCTGCACTAACTGTCCAGTAAGTGGCGCAGAAGGTAATCAGGATTATCTGTGATAGATAACAGTTTATTTAGTGAGCTCCTTTCCAACGCAAATTTGTCCAGGTTGCAAAAACAAACAATAGCTGAAATACGTGTAGAAAGATTTGTTTGTTTGTGTTTTTGTTTGTAGAATTCATATTTGGACTTTCAAAAAAAAAAAAAAAAAACTATAACCTTTGCCAAATTATCCATTTTTTTCTGGAAATGATTTCAGAAGTTGTTAGGATGCTTAATTCCATTACATTTCAGTTATCTTATAATATAAAGCCAAATCACAGTAACAGTTAGTTCAAGCAACTTTATATTTTTTGGTAAGGACACTAGAACGAAGGGGAGAAAACCCCAGCAGTCAGGTGATGCCCTATGAGCAAGCACTTGGCAACAGCAGGAAGGGGAACACCCTGTTACAACAGGAAGAAACCTCCAGAAGAGCCAGGATCGGGGAGGGGCAGCCATCTGCCGTGACCAGTTGGAGAGGATTTAAAATCCTATTAGATGAGGAGTTGTCCTAAAGAAAATGCTGATCTTCTTGCACAACTTGTGATCTTTCAGAAAGCTTTCTATTTCTATACTGTCACTGTCAGGGGGCTGAGTCTGTGACCCAGCATTTTGAGTTATTTTGTATTTTTTGATTACTTATGAGTTAATGTTGAGTCCTGGGGTTATTATTAGTTCATCTTAGTTGAAGTTTAGTCTGGTTTATGTTATCGTCCATGTCTCCTTGTTTTCTGTTTATGACGTATTATCTCCTCGTCTATGTAGGTTCCCCTTGTGTCCCTCTCCTCTGTCCCTCCGCCTCTCTCCTTCCCTCTCTCTGTCTCTTGTCTCTCCATGTTTCCTGTTTTTATTTAGATTTTATTTATGTTCACCGCGTTTAATTTTGCTTCCCCTGCGGCGTCACGTTCATTTGTGTCAGCTGTGTTTCCCGAGGTGTTTTCACTTCCCTCATTACCCTTCTCTGTATTTAAGTCCTCTGTCTCCCTCTGTTTAGTGTCAGATTGTCTGCATTGCTCCATGTTCATGTTCACGTCTTCATCTTCCCTGCCTCAAATCTCGTTTTTTTCATGTTCCTGCTCAGATTCATGTTCTTATGTCATAGTTCTCGTAGTTAGTCTTAGCTGTTTCCAGTTTAGTTTCTAGTTTAGTTTTGCCCCAGTTCACCTTGCCTTTGTTTTGT